AAAGTATAACTACAGCAATAAAAAAATTGTCAGGAAGATATTTATCAAAATATTTACAACTTGTACTACTTTATCAATTTAAAATATAAGTTGGAAAAATATTTAAATTAGATATTAATGCCCATATAACAAACTGTCAAAATTTTAAAAGTTAAAGTGCATTCAAACTCGGTACGCAATCAGCACTCTCACTCAGCTAACTAGTGTACACTTCAGCAAAACTATTCTGGAAAGCATTTTGGCATCAAAAACCTAAAAGTGTATTTATAATCTTGTATGATTACTTCTAGGAATCCAACCTAAGAACTAAGATGCAGAAATTTTTTTTTTACTGGGATGTTCAACTTAAGAATTATGATATTTAAATTTTGGCAAAACACACACACACACACACACACACACACACACACAATGTTTAACTGAAATAGGAGAATGATTAAATAAAATAACATATTCTTAGGAAGAAATGTTTGAAATATTTTTAATGGCTTAAGAAAATCCTTCCTGTATGTGAAAAGGGGAAGGTGTATGTTAAAATCCTTGGTGCATGTTAAAAGCTCTTTAAAAAGTACTATCCAGCCCTGGCCGGTTTCGCTCAGCGATTAGAGCGTCGGCCTGCGGTCCTGAGAGACCTGGGTTCGGTTCCCGCTAAGGGTATGTACCTCGGTTGCAGTTTGTCCCCAGCCCTGGTCGGTTGTGCGGGTGGCAGCCACTCGATGTGTCCCTTTCACGTCGATGTTTCTCTCTCTCTCTCTGTTCCTCTCCCCCCCCCCCACTCTACCTGAACAAAAAATGGAAAAATGTCCTTGGGTGAGGATAAAAAAAAAATAAAAAGAAATTAAAAAGTACTATCCAATTATACAAGGAAAAGACGTATCTTTTAAGAACCAAACTCATAAGATGCTTCTATTACATTATTTAAACCTCACAATAACAGACACATTTATGAACATGTATTAGGTTCCAGAGATCTTAATATTTGGTAAAACAGAGACACAGCCTAAGTTGGAACTCTTGCTCTGCCATTATTGTGAGACTCATTATTTAACATTATGGTTTCATTTCATCATAAGAAAAAAAAAAGTAATGAAATACTTTTTCATAGAAGTCTAGTAAATATTAAATGCATTAATACAGGTGGAGCACTTAGAACAATGCTTGGCATGATAAATTATCAATCTGATACTACAATGGAGTAAACAGATCTAAGCTGCGGTCCAAATAACAAGGCTGAGCCAGGCAAAGGGTGAGGAGGGCTAGGGAAAAATGTTCAAGGTGAGCAGGGAGACCTTGGGATTTTCTGCTTATTCCCTATACACCCTTAACGATTTGATAATTATCTTACAGGCAGAATGCTTTGAATGTTCAGAATGTGCTTATGGACTTGTCTTTGGTCTAATTCACTGTGCATAAGAATTACTGTCAGTGTTGTGACATAAAATCAGATATACCCAGTAGGCCTTATGGGTGACTATTCTCCAGTTTCATCTTAAGAAAGCAAAACAATCCTCTGTTGAATAGAAACATTCATACATTCAAACATTCAAACATTTCATCAAGAGAAAATGATACCGAATGACCAAAATATTGACTATATTTTGGGATGAAATAGATTTTTAAAAATCACATTCTCAATTGTTGATAATTTCTCTGATCTGTTCATAATGAAACAGCAGCAATGATTATAACATGTTTTTGATGAATCTCAACATTATAGCTTTGTAATGGCATATTTTATACGCTGTAGGTCCATGAGGCATATTAACACTTAAAACACAAAAATATTTTTTAGAAAATTTGGTATATTTGAGATCCAACCCTAAATTCTCAGTTTTTTAGGTTTAAATTCAGAATTCTGATTTAATAAATTTTTGTTGTTTACTTGTTATTTAACATTTTTCTTTCCAAGAACTAGGCTGCCAAAATTATCTTTGCCACCTTAATCACCCACTATCACCATCATCCACTGAATGCTCTGGAGACATTAGGCCTCCCAATCCCTGCTTTCCTGTCAGGGTCCATTGACTTACAGTAGTCATTTAGAAATGACTCACCCACAGCCAGCTTTACCTACAGGCAATACCTCATTTTATCATGCTTTTTTTTTTTCTTATCTTCACCCGAGGACATTTTTGCATTTATCTTCAGACAGAGTGGGAGGGAGAGGGGGGAAGAGAGAGAGAAACATCGACATGAGAGGGACACATCAACTGGTTGCCACCCCCATGACCCCAACCTGGGCTGGGATGAACTGCAATCAAGGTACCTGCCCTTAGCCGGATCCGAAACAGGGACTCTCTGGTGCTGGATGCTCTAACCGCTGAGCCAAACCTGCCAGGGCTATTATGCTTCTCTTTATTGTGCTTCACAGATATTTTGTTTTTGTTTTGCTTAAAAATGGAAGGCAAGACCCTCCACCAGCAAAACGATTAACACTTCCTGTATTGTGCTGGTCTGGAAAGGAACCTGTGATATCTGAGGTATGCTTGTACTTGAATCCCACCTTTGAGGCCTAGCATGCAGCCTTCCCCAATACCTGAATTTACTTCTCTTCTATCATTGAAGACATTTGATCTAGCATTATGTTCCATCTGTTCACAATCTCCTTTTACAGGTCAGGGGCCTTACTCAGCACCTAGACTGAAACTAAATAATTATTTGCTGAGGGAATAGTTTACCAGTCTCAAAATAACGATAACCACAGATTAGTTTGCAATCCTAAATTCTAACACTGAAAGAAAAAAACTTCCTACTTCACAACTTGTTTCTTTAAAACTGCAATCAAATCAGAATGAAAGTAGAATTCTTCTGAATTTGTGTACAAGAACAATGAAAAAGGGTATAAAATGACATAAAAAGTCATAAAATGATAACACTTTATATGTGTCATAGAAAATAAAATTAATGTAGAAACCATTGTGGTCTGCTAGAATGAAGGTAACCCGGTTGAAGAATGAGAAAAAATTTTTAAAAATACAATTTCCATTAACCACTTGGGGTCCAATTTGGCGGATGTAATCCATGAAAACATAGCTCCAGACAAGCCACTAATATAAAGTAGGATATCATTATTAGTCTGGTAACTAAAACAAAAAGGTAGTAAAAGAAAGTGACTAATAAAAACTCCATCAGCATACAAACATTCCAAACTTCTGTTTCCTATCCTTTAATATTTTCCATTATAATGAAATAGTTTCATTATTAAATGTAGGCTAAAAATACTGGCTTCTTTTCTGTTATTGTTTTGTTTTAAGGTTCATTTTACTTTGTTTATAGTGTTTAAGTACTTTTGTGATGACAGATGCTTAGAGGCAGAATTGTAACTTATTTTGAAAAGTAAAACCCATTCTTAAATTAAAATACTCAAATATTTTGAATTATAGATGAACAGTCAGTTACTAGACCATTTTGATATTTTTAGGGTGCCTGTAAGTAGACAGATTTAGGTAACTTAAAATAAGAATGCCAAATTGGAAGAAAACAGGTGAAGAGAGAGGCAAGTGTGAAATAAGCATCTTCCTGAGGTTATTAAAATAAGATAACTTCACAAATATTTGGTGCTGTTATTTTTATATTCAAACATCAGATAACACCAATATTTAAAAAAAAAACTACTACTAAAATTAATTGTATATGTAAATGATCAAAGAAATGGAAGTCATACCCATTGAGCTCTAAATATATTAAGATTTTAAAAATAGAAACATAACTGTATTCATGACTTCTTGTGGTACTTAGAAAGTTCAAAAAATATGTTTGAGGCATATCCACTGTTTTCTGCATTAGAAAAATATGATGAAAGTGAAGAAATGAAGAACTTTCCAAAATTTCTAAATATACAGTACTTAGCCCAAAGTATTTTTGCATCTATTGTAAGATGGTAAAAAGAAAAGATCTGACACGACAAGGGCCTCCGGGCCTGGGGATATTCCAGTCTTGCAACCAATAGGAAAACTTTCCCTAAATCTGAATTAGCATTTCACCTCTTTATCACAATACACAGAGCACAAACCGGGGCTGTTATCCTTGCCCAAAATGCAAGAAACCCAGTTAGAAAAACCTGTACTTGGAAGTTATGGCTGTTTTCTAAGGAATTAAAAAGGGGTGAAGGATGAGACAGTTTACAGAAGAGAAGCAGGATTCATGTCTCCAAGTTATATTTGTAACACGTCTTTGAACGGAGTGCACAATGTGAACCAGTCCAGCTGAAATGAACGCTGGGTGACCATGGAAATCCGGCTGGAGCCAAAGTGAGGGGTGCAAGCCGGTCGAGGTGGGGTGAGGGTATACGTTAGGGCCGGGGCGGCGCGGCGCGGCGGCGGTTTGCGTGCCAGGGTGGATGGACACACAAGCTACGGTCTGGGGCTGGAGCTGTCGGATGCTGCCTCACCCACGAGCGCGCGAGGGTCCGAGCCGCAGGGCTGGGGGTCCGTTTCCTTCCGGGGCGCCGAGCTCGCCTCCATGTTCGGCGGCCGTGCCCTGGGGCGGGCAGGGTGGACCGGTGCCCTAGGCCGCGGGGCCGCGGAGGCCGGCCTCACCTCCCCGAGACCCCGGCGGGGCGGCTCTGCCGGCGCGGAGGATGCGCTCGGCTTTCCCCTCGGCCCCACCCGAGTCCCGGGGGCCGCGGATTCAGTGACTCAACCTCCGGGCGTCCGACCCGCCTGGGCCCGAAGATCACCGGCTCCGCCGCTCCCGCCCCGGCTCCTCCGCCCCGCGCTCCGCCGCGGCCTCCCGGCCCGCCTCCCTCCCCTCGCCCGCTCCCTCGGGACCGAGCTCCCGCGGGGGCCTCCACACCTTCCCGAGGGACAGACCTGGGGACCGCTACCCGGCATGGCCAACCGCACGAGGAAGCGGCGAGCGGGCGCGGGGCCGCAGCGACAGCGGCCCCCTCGGCCCGCCCCGCGCGCCCTCCCCGGCCGCGGCCCCGCGCCCCTCCGCGGGCTCGCCCCACACACCGTCCGCACGCGCGCGCATGGCCGCCGCCGTGTTGCTCAACCTACTTGCAGTCTCTTCTCAGCAGCCATCACACCATGCCCTGGACGCCGGGCAGCCCCGGGGCCTCCGGTGCCGGCGCTCTCGCTCAGCCCTGGGGCGCGGCGGCCGCCGCTAGGGCGCGGGGCGAGCGGGAGGCTCCCCCATGCCGCCCGCCCGCCCGCCGGCCCCACGCCGGCCCGGCTCAGGCGCGCCCGCGCCGCTGCTCCGCGGACAGCGGGCCGGCTCTCCCCCTGCCTGCTCGCTGCTCGACCTCCCGCCCGCAGCCGCCGCCGCCGCTTCCTCCTCCCCTTCCCTCTTCCTTCTCCTTCGCCTCCTGTGGAGTCGAGGTTGGCAAACCAGCACCTGCTGCTGGAGATCACCGAGAACTGAAACAGGAAACCCCCAGCCAAGGGGAAAACCCGGGAGGCGTGGAGAGGGATGAGGGGAGCTGCGGGAACCTGTCGGGCTCGACCTAGCCGCCGGGGCTGCCCGACGTCCCCGCGCCTCCGCCCCTCGCGCCCCTTCCCTGCCCGCCCGGGCCCCCGCCTCCCTCCCCGCTGCCCAGCCGTGGCCACTGGGCGCCTGTCCGCTCGGCTACGCCTCTCCACCCTGCAAAGCACGGACCACCCCTGGCAGTCCAGGAGATCTGCCTTCTTACGGCAGGTTTCCCGTGGTTGTTTGCTTATGATCAATAAACCATAATAAGGAAAACCCACAGCTGTCATTAGCAAGACCAATGGGGAACTTCAACAAATGAAGCTGTTGGGATTTCTTCCAGGGGAAGGACTTTTTGCGGCAAGGAAACTGGCCTCGTTGGAAATGGCAGGGTGTCAAAATCGAGGTTAACCCCAGGATAAATTCAGCTCTCTTTCGGGAGGTTGGGAAGAGACAGCCTTCAACACTGACGTGGACTCCGGAGTTAGGAGTGTGGAAAGCACTGGGAGCAGAGAGCTTTCAACCTCTGCGAATTGTACAACACCCAGCACAAGCTAGGTCAGCATTTCAGAAATGTTCAAATAGTCTTATTCACTGGCCTGTGCAGTTGTCACCAGGTGCCTCACCCCCTCCCACCCCCCCACCCCCGCTTGGACAGGGTGCCTCAGCTTTTAGAGCCAGAGGGAAGGGGACTTATGTGGATCGTATCCCTGCTGTGTGCCACAGGCAGGGTAGCCGGGTTTAACTGCATTATCTCGTTTAAGGTTCACCACAGCCATGTGAGCTAGGTGTTAGAATCCCCTTTATCGGTCAGAAAAATTGATTGAAAAAATTTCCCAACATTACACAGCGTGAATATGAAGGATTCAGATCTGTTTGCATCCAAAGCACATATTTGTTTCACTGGAACAGAATTCATGCCTTTGATAACATTTTCACCTTCAATAAAATTATTTCTTGCCTCTCTGAATTGTTTTAAATAGGGTATATATGGTTCAAACCTGGATTTCTTGACTTTGCATTGTCTACTTAATCATAGTGATATCCATGATGCTTATTGTGGCTCAAACTTATTTTCTAGTTTAATGTTCTCTTCCTCTCTCTAAAAAAATCTGCTTTTATTGCTTAGTTGAGCAGCACAGATGTCCTCACCTCTTAGGCGGGCATATGTTGCTCTTTAGCTATTGATAATGGGGACCCAGCTGAGGGCATCCTAACACCATCTCCACCTGGGAGATGAAGGGGGAGCATCTCACTGAGCTTGCTTTCCACTTCAGTAGAACAGTCTTAGGAGTTAGTAAATAAAGTAGCTGGCTCATAGACTTCTTTTTGAGCATATGAAAGCCCGCTGGTCCATAATTTTAGTGCCATCCTCAAGACCCCTAGGGAGTCTGGCAACGTGCTTTCTGCAGTCAAGACCGATCTGATTGGCAGGAAGGGAAGCATGCTTTGAGAAAGCATCTCCTGTTTACTGAACCAAACCCTCAAATGTCTCTTGAGTGGTATTAGGGAGGGTGGGGAGTTAGAAAGAGCCTGGCTGGCTTGCTGACAGCAATAAGTGATGGCATTTTTGTCCTGATTTTTGAGAAGCCAGGGAGTTCCCCTACTCCACAATATACCATCCCTGCAACCTACTTTATTTTCCTTGATTGACTCAACTGAATTCCAATATTGATTAAGCATAGTTTATAGACCAAGGCACTGTATTAGGTCCTTTGGAGGTAAGAGACATGAGCGATTACTATAACTGCTAACACTTAGTGAATGTCTACCATGTTCCAGGCACTATTCTAAGCACTTTGCATGTTCTCTCTCATACAATGCCCACAAAACCCCTATGAGAGAATAGCTAACACTATTTCCATGTTATAGATGAGAAAACTGAGACCAAAAATACAGTCAGTAAATAACAATATAAAGACTGAAATGTAGGCAGGCTGGCTGGAATCAGGAACAATTACGTGAATAGGATACTGCTCTTAATTACCTTAATGTGTAGTTGTAGAGATACAAACATAACAAAATTAAAAGAAAACCAAGAAGACATGAGAATTTACAAGAGTTAAATGTGTATCTGGGTAATAAATGAAAGTTCAGAGCACACAGGAATCTCAGTTGGAGTGGTTAGGGAATCTACATAGAAAATGACTCTGAGTTTCATAAAGGGAACATTTAAGCTGGAAAATGATGATGAGCAATATTTTGATAAGCAGAAAGTATAAGGAAGGGCACATCAGAGGAACTGCATGAACAGAGAGTGCCAGGGAAATTTAGAAAATAGGGATTAAAAAACAAACAAACACTGGAGAGGACTAAATTACACAGAGACTTCAACAAAGAGAGAGGGGGCAGATGGGAGGGAAGGAGAGAGAGTTTGACCTTAAATACAGTGTGGACTCTATGAAGGGTTTTTAACAGAAAGTGACACAGAGAACATCCTATTTTAGGAAAATCAATACTACGATGGATATTGGATGGTTTGGAAAGAGGAGGGATTGAAGCAGGAACATAGGCTTGGAGACCTATATGGGAACACTGACATGAAATAATGAAGTAAATAGAGAGAAAAAGAAAGAACAGGTTAGTGGGACGTTGTGATTTAATAATTACCTAGGTTTTCTGAACGATTGGATATATTTGATGAAGATGGAATTAAGAAAAGGGAGAAGTCTAAATGACGTGTGATGTTACTGGAAAAATGGCCACGTTTGGGGCAAAGGAACTACTCTTTTGGGAAAATGTTTTGAATAGTTTGGTTTTAGGCAAATATTTATGGTAATTGTGGGATATCCATGTGGAAATATTTTATAGTATATCTAGAAAGAGAAAATGATTGGGTAAATGAGGCTTCTATCTACTATTAAGAGAGTATGAAAATTGTAAGTGATCACTATTAAAGTTGAAAGAAAATTTCTAGCAAAAATAAAATGTTTCTATGGTTCTGAGATAAATGAGCATTAGGGAATTCCTCTTTTCTTGACTACAAGTTACATGTACTTAAAAGGAAAAGATAATATGTAAGAAAAAATTTTCATGGGCTCAAAGAATGTAAGATTGATGAAAGAAAACTTAGAAATCATTTAATCTGACTCCACTTTTCATTTTGCGAATGGTGAAATTGAGGATCAAGTTTTTAGTATCTAATAGCAAAACTTCAAAATAGGCATCAGCCAAATATGGCACATTTGCTGTTACCAATTCTGGATAGCCAGTTTGTCTTTGAGTTGTAAAATCCAGTTTGGACCTTTGACTGTGGCTGTGACTCCATAATAGGCAAAACCTTGAGCAGCCTCACTAGTTAAAAGCCAGTGCTTTGGAAAGGACAGGTTGGGGGCAGGGGGTAGGAGGGAGTACGATTGCAAGGGCAGCAGTTCTTTCTAAAATATAACTCCTAGGTTGACCACCACAAACCTAGATTCACATTTGAACCTTAAAAGACAGAGTTTCAGGTGACTACCACATAGCAGCTGGCTGCCTCAACCTGGAACTTCTAATTGCCCAGCCTTCTTATCTAAGACCTCCAGGGACTGTAGGTCCCCCTCAGGTTCAGAACTGGCACTCACCCCTGGCAATGACTTCCAGTTCAATCCAGAGCTTTTCCAGTGGTGTCCTTAGGAGTTTTTTTTTTTTTTTTGTAGAAAATGGGTGAACGCAATGGCTACAGTTGGGGGTGTAAGAGAATTATTTTTCTTGCTCTCATGTCTCCTGCCTCTACCATTTCTGCCAAAACACTTACCTTAGTTGAAACAATATCAGAAGTCCCCTGGAAGCACTTTCATTTCCAGCTCTTTGGACAGCACGTGATTGCCTCTAGTTGAAAAGCTTCACCACATAGCCAGGTGACTAATGTGATTTTTCATTCACAGTTTCTTTTATGTCTTTCAGAGAAGTTCCAACAACTTATGAAATATCCAGTTTCCTTAATATTGTTACTTTATACAACGTTTCCTATGCACATGATCTACATAAGATAGATACATAGAGATAAAACTCATTCTTGACCATGTGCTTATGGGACTGGTTAGAGATGCTTTTTAACACTGAGTTCTTAGGGAAAGGAAACTAAAGGGCGTGAGATATGTGCTGTTGACCAATCCCAGAGCTTCTTTCTTTCAATGAGTTACCACAAGATTGCATACTAGCATCATGACTCTTTTTCAGTATTTGTGGGAGGCCACTAGAGAGCCGGAACAGCAAGGGTTTCAATATGCTGGTGCTGAACAGTCATGTGCTGGGTTTTCTACCTGAATCAGACAGCATGGCTGCCCTGCTTTCACCACATTTTACCAACATAGGAATTTTGAGAAGAAGAAACACTTAACAATAGAATTAAAAATGCCCCATAAGGTGGCGGTTTGTCATCATGATAAGGACAACACCTGTCATTGCAGTTTACCCTGCCCAGAAGTTCTGAAATTTTTATTTCAACGTGGAATTTCAGGTATACCTCAGCAAGCATCTGTTGTTTGAAATGGAAATTGGTATATAGAATTACACATGTAAAAATTGAGAGAATTGAAAACAGAATTATAGAATTTCCAGGTTAGAGTTCATTTTACATTAAAAAGCTATGTCACAAGAATAGAAAATGCAGCATTACATGCAAAGGCAAAAAATTACAATCAACCTAAATTTCC